GCCATGTGACAAACACTTTGATGAAAGGCAATTATTTAGCATTTGGAGAATATTGAATGTGCAGATACACCCTAAGTATAATAGTACTTTCTTATCTCTACTTTGGACAAGTAGAAAAATGGATGAGTCTTAGAATTGAGGATATCACACAGTCTAAAACAATCAAAAATCAATAATGTATCATAAGTGGATCACATTGTGCATTAAGCACTAATAATTTATTCAGATATTGCTCAATGCCCATATCATCAAATAAGCTTTTCTGGTACCTCCTTGAAGATGTTTAAATGATAAAGATGTGATATAATATCACCTTTGTAAAATAAATACAGGAAATCCTCATTAGTTTGAAATTCAAGGGGCGAGCGATAAATTGTAACTCTCAGATAATTCAAAGTCACATTTCTGTATAATATGCAAATTCCATGTAATTGATGTAATTTATTAAGCAAATGGAATAAGGCTATCTATACAGAATATTTATTATTAATTAACAAAAATAGCAAACTGCAGGTAAACAGCATGTACGTTATCTGGTGAGAAACTCATAGGTTGCCAGACAGGTTTTATAAAAAGTAAAGCAGAATTCCTCAAAATATGGTCCACATGTAGTAGCCAGAGACCTACAAATATCTCTATCTGCTGCTTATAGCCCAATCTTGCAATCCCAAAACACAGCTATATTTTATGAGATAAGGGGAAATAGGAGTAATCCATGTGTAAGGTGACATCTGAAAATATATTACTGTAAAAGTAATGCCGTGTTGAACAGATTAGAGTTGTTCTTTCTCTTATACTATGGAGGCACCTTGATCTAAACATACACACATCACAGTTTAGACAGAATTTTTACTTCAAATTTCAAAGTAGCCATATTTTGAACTAACCAAATTCCTTAACATATAAATCTCTCTACTATTTGTCCTGGCTGGGAATATAGTTATGAACTTGATTTTGAACTATCCAAGTTTAAATTAATGAGAATTTCCTGCAGTTGTTTTTAATGCTGCATCAGAAGAACTTAGTTTCCAAGCCTTACTTATTTTTCTACTTCTAACTTGCTTAACCAAACTTAAAAAGTTTTCCTCTATAAAAGTTTAAATTATACAGTAGAACCTCGAAAACTCGGCCTAATGTGGACCGAAGGGTGGCCGAGTTTGTGAAAATGCCGGGTTATCGGGAATGGGGTTTAAAAAGNTAAACATTATATATTAATATATAAGAAATAAACTAACAAAAAGCTGGAAAAGTTTTTAAAATTTATACAAGAATAAAAACTAAAATATATTGTATCATTACTTTTATAATTGAAAATAGGGATGAAGAGAAGTTTCAATAAAACTTAAAATGCATTTCTTAAGAGCAAAATAGTCTTCACATTGAACAAATTAGAATTTAAACTTTTAGCCTATTTCTTATTCTGTTTACACAATTATTAGCTAGCTTCTATTTATAATAATGTTATTTTCAGATACTATAAATAACTGCATATCATTAGCAAATGAAAGTAAATTTTTAAAAATTTTGCTATTATTTATTCAATATACAGTAGAAACTTGCTTAATCAAATTTCGGGTACCAGATCTATTTGTATAAATTAGAATATGGAAAATTTGAACTGTTGGAGATGACATACTCATAGTACTAAATAAAGACAATATTTAACTTTTTGATTAATAGAGTAGGACTTTGTTTTATGTCATTTTGTTTTTGCAAATGATTAGGCAACTCATGCTTAGTGCCACTGAATCTGATTAAAGTCAGCAAATCATGCTTCTCTCTTCTCCAGTTTCTGATACTCTGAACATGGAGAATTATTGAATGTGCTATCACAATGAGCTACTCACTGTGATGAATACTCTTGTTTGCATGTATTTTTCTCTAGTATCATACTCAGTATAATATAAAATTTTGCCTGACTATTCATAAATATAAGAACTAAAATGATATTCATTACAATAAAAACAAAATGTTTTAAACATATTCTAATTTTTTTTTTTTTTGTTTTGTTTTGTTAATTGTAAATGGTTATACAAGTATCTGGGTAATCCTCTGAGACTACTTGGATGGAGTACAGATTTACAGAATTTTATGTGATACCTGCTGACATGTAATTCCCACATAAAATAAGACTATACTGTATATAAAATACTATACACTATCATATGGAGCCTATCCCAAAAGTAAGGTACAATTTTTTATAACAATTTAATAACAGATTACAATAAAAAATTAATCATTTGAAAGTACACAGTCTAAGTTATCTACATAGTCTTCTTTTCTAAATACTTCTCCAACAAGAACAAAAATTCTTTTCTGAAAAAATTATCCACTTAAAAGATGCAGTCATGAACTTGCACAAATCATTAACTTCATCATTTGAGATTGTCACCAAGACATTTCTTAAAAGGTTCAATTAAAGGATGCTAAGTTTGAACTATGTGGATGGTCCATTACTTCCCATCCATGATTCTTTAGCTTGTCTTAAGTTTAGTGCAACTCCCCATACTGCCCATCATAGTGCAGCAAGTGTATCATTCTCCGCATACTTTCTGTGCCATCTGATTTTACTTTTTTGGGCCTCTTAAGAAACATCTTGGTGGTTTACACTCATCAAATGATGAAGTTAATGATGCAGTCATGGACTTTTTTAAATCATTAAGTGGAGAATTTTTTCGGAATTTTTACCCTTGACTTCTGCTGGAAAAGGTGATTATAAAAGATGGAGACTATGTAGAAAAATAGCTTAAACTGTATACTTTCAAATGGCTAATTTAATTTTTAATGTAATTTGTTATTAAGTTGTTACAAAATATTGTATTCTATGTAGGTCTGTCTCAAAAGTAAGGTATCAATACAATCACATTGTATCATTATTTGAAATGTTAAAAGCAAAGTATAATAGTCAGAAATATAACTCAAATATAATCTTACTGAAGATTCCAATTTACTTTTAAATGGAGTAATCTTGAAGTCATTTGAGTTTCAATAGTTTAGCATAGGATGATTTGCTGTTTCAAGCATGCCATTTTCTTAAAAAATTATAGTACTTCAAAGTGATGAAAAACAAAGGACCCATTTTTCATCATAACTGTTTTCAGTGAATATACTTAGATGAACAAGCAGTCATATATCATCAGATAACAGCATGTTGAAAATTAACTTTATAATTTATCCACCATGAGACATTATCATCATGTACTTCAGATCGATCCATCCTGAATATTTCCATAATAGCTTTCTGTTCCTTTTACATAGATGCAGAATATTCAGTTCCAGTTGAAACATTTAGTCAAAACATAAATGACACTATAAATGATAATGTTAGTGGTGTCACCTCACCCAAGCATATACTAACTTGTAGATATTTGAGATAATTGTGCACGAAATAACAGCGTGCTTTTTGTTATCATTTCCATTCCTAATTTTATTTGGCAGCTTCTTCCTACATTGAAGCTTAAAGATTTCACTTGCAGCTTGGTTCATGGATTGCAAAAACAATGACTTACACATGAATATTGCAAAAATATGTGTTCTTAAAACTCTCATTGGAGGATTGGATGGTCAGAAGAACTGTTGAGTGATAATGTAGCATTTTGCAATAAACTGTTTTTCAAATTACTTTTTAAACAAAAGCAACAAATTGGTCATAAAATCATTTTAAAAAATAGTCACTAGTATTGCTTCTGAGTTGATTTGCAAAACAACCACTCAAGTTTTCAATAAACCAGAAAATATTTTTATTAAATGAAAAGTTAATGTTTTCAGAATGTTTGTCATTTCATCATCAGACTGTTGTAGTTTTTAATAAAGAATATATAGTGGCCATTGATACTGAGTTATCCAGTACATTATGGATACATAGTTATCCAGTATGATTTAGATACTGGATAATTCAGAGAACCATTTAATTAGATTACAATACTATCAATCTAATTATGATGGGAGATTTTGTGTTTTTGCAAAATTTTACATTTATAAATATATATTTAAAAAATTCTAACTGTTTTATTCTTTAATTACAAATAGAAATGAATTATAGTATGTAATTCTGGTAACCTGCAATAATTTTTTTTGATTGATTTGAATTAGATGGGTATTCAATAATTCAAACTATTAATTAAAAGATTGTTTAAATGCTTAATAATTAAATATTTCATTATTATAAACTTAAAATGTTATTAAACTCATGTTCAAATGAGTTTTAGGAGATTTTTTAATCATTATTATCATCTCTGTTTAGATACTTTCTCATGAAAGTATACATAAGTAGAATTGATTCAGAATTGACACTTATATTGTAAACCTTTGTAAATTTGAAAAAATAAGATTTCCTCAGATTTTTTCAGAGAGGTGTTTTTTTTAGTAAATTGCATCAGTTGTCTGTTATTTTTCTTAATTATGTTTGTTTGTTTAAAAAGATATCTTATGAATTTTAATTTCATTATTCACTTATTAAAAATATAATACAAATTTGTTTTTAAGAGTCCATCATTCACAATTGCCATTGACAAACCAAAAATAAATTTTCATTCAAGAATGACCTTGTATTTGAGACTATACTTCTGTAAAAATGCAAAGTTGTTTATTATTCACTGCCTTAAGTTAATTTCATAAATACTTTTGTTTCTTTATATAATTACATTGCACTATTGATTTGGATTAAAAATATGTGCATTGTATTTTTTGTGTTTTTTTTATTTATTTCTGTAATTGGCAAAACTTATCTATATGCATTATGCTAAAAATGGTATTGGTAATTACATTAACATTGTATCTTAACTAGAAAATTAAATATTGTTAAATTATATATTTAAAAACAAAAGTGATTTAAGCTTAAACTGTTGATGCATAAGTTAGTGATCATTTTTTATATTTATTTTTAACTTTTCTTACACATTAACCAATAATTAAATACATAAATGTTTTAGATGAATGAAAAAAAGCAAACTGATGAACTAAAATAAAATATATCATTTTTGTATATTCTATTCTTACAGTCTCAATGGAACAATACTACAAGGAGTTACTCTCCTAGTACAGCAATGTTCAATGGTTCTTCATTGATGTCAAGTTTTTCTTTGAATGGTAGTAACAGTTCATTGGAGACTCCTTTGGCCAACAGTCCACGCACTCCGACTGATGAAGCCAAACAGAAGCTTCTTCGTCCAAAAACATTGATAGAAAGAGCTCGTCTGAATTCTGGGTAAATTTTAGTTTTTAATCCTGATGTATTCTGTCTAAAATATTTTATTAATGGTAACAGTTTCAAAAACACATTTAATTTATAGATTATTAATTTAAACATACAAAATTGGAAAGCAAAATTCTTTAAGTTTTTTAAAGATTGTGACAGTATTTTCAGACTTGTCAATTGTACTGAATAACATTCTTTAAGATATCTGATATTTGTAAATATTAGAATAAAAGCTTGGCCCTATCAAATTCTATATTTTTTAATATAGAATTTGATAGGGCCAAGCTTTTATTAAAAATGTATACAAGTAATTGAGAACAAACTTTATAAAATACAAGTCTAAATGTTAGCAAACAATCTATGTGGGTCTCTCAGGTTAACTGGTCTGGAAGTGAAGGTCAGAGATCAGTAGCTTTACTGGTAATGCATCTGCATAAGCAAGTTAAGTCCTACTCTGGGTCAATATTTTCTTCAGAATATTCAAAAATTAATGTAATTATTGCAAGATAACAATTTATTATCTTTACATCAAATTACTTTTTATTGATAATTAATAATTAGCCAAAATATAAACTGAAATAATTCAACACTTAAGAGATTTGATCAAAAAATGTTGCAGTAAATTAAACTTTAGTGAACAAGTTTTGAAATTTGTGTACAGTTATTTCAGCATTTTGATATGTATTATGATTTTCTTATTTCTCTCTTAAATAATTATCAAATTTACAATTAAATGACAAGTATTTAGAAGTAAACAAATTTTGAAAAATAATCATATTGTCATCATCATTGATGGCTATTATTCCTTTTTTGTATAAAGTTTTTATAACACATTATATTATCTAAGTAGTCAGAGAAGAATGTATCTTTCATAATGACCAATATATATCATGTATATATTAATGATTTTGTTTCATTTATTTTGCAAATGTGATTGCTTAACTGAATTTCATATTATGGAATTTTCTAAACTGGATAATTTTTGTATTTTAAGAAACCACTTTTGAGGATTTCTATAGAAAAAATTTTTCTTTACTATTTCTTAGCCATTGGCAATTATGCAAAAATATTTAATGATGTAATGTAATAATGAAATCCAATCTTGTAAAACGTATTTTTTAACACAGTGACTGCAGTGTGAGACAAATAAAACCACACTAGATTGAAACTCCAATGCTATATGAATTATATATAACTCTGTTTCAAGTTTGTGTTACAAGCCATATGGTTACAAACTATGGTTTATGACAGTTTAATATTGAAGTATGGATATTGATAGCTAATGACATGGAGGACAGTTTCATATATTTAATGTCAAAATTTCTGCTCAATGTTATATCATCCATTGGTATTTTAACATAGTAAATTCACAATGTTTTCAAAATGTTTTTCAGGAAAGAAAAAGTATTTTGAATGATTATTAATTGTATACAGTAAAATCTTGCTATTTCGATATTGGATAATTCTAAGATATTATCTGGCCCAGTGACTCTCAAAAATATCATTTAGTTTGAAATCTTCCATCATATTACATGTTCATAAGGAAAGTTTCTATGCCCTAGTGGCAGTTTTGGTTTTGGTTTAACCAATTACACATTGTTGATTTATTGGACCTCTGTTCAAGGTCATTCAGATATTGTGCATGTTGCCAATGAATGGAGAACTTTTTTATTTTTTATGGAAGAAATCTGTTTGGCATTTAATTACTTTTTACATTTTTCTCAAAAATCTATTGTTTCAATAATCCCAAAGTTGATTAAATACACGTGTGTTTATGATAGAATGCATACATAGTTTTAGCTATTAATTAACAGAGGTTGATTTCATCAGATCACGTGATTTTCGTAATCTTGAATTCAAGATAGTGAATTCTAGTTCTATGAAGAATTCACCATCTTGAGTTCATGGGTAATTATTATTGAAGCACTTAAGCTACCTTTGTACATTATTCTCAGGTCTGCTTTGAATGTATTTTGTTACATTTTTATTGTTTTCATTAAGTACATGACAACTGATGGTTTTTTGAAATAGCTTAGATTACTAAGTAAGTGATTTGTAACCAAATTGGTGAAATTATATAAAGATAATGTCATAATTTTATTTGAGGATTGCAAAAAACGTCAATAAGAAAGAGTTTGGATAATTAACAAATTTATAATTAAATGACAAGTATTTAGAAGTAAACAAATTTTGAAAAATAATCATATTGTCATCATCATTGATGGCTGTTATTCCTTCTTTGTATAAAGGAAAAACCTGAATATTAAAAGTTGTGTTTTTGGGTCCCTTGTTCCAAAATAACAAGTATTATTTCTAATTGCATGAACTATAGCTTAAGACAATAAATTTTTCAATAAGATTCAATAAGATTATTAACTTGATATATAATTTTCAATATATAAAATTCATATTTTATATCATGTTAATAATACTAAGACACAAAATTTAGAATTTTTTTCAATCATTGAAGGTCTAAAAACAAATCATAAATAATCAGAATGTCAATTATTGAAAAAAATCATCATAATTTCGCTGTTTATGAAACTAGTGAAAACGTTTAGTATGTGAGATAAGGAGGGGATCATGGGCAATCCAATGACCACTTCCTCTGCACAAGATCTTGTGATCTGATCTCTAACTTTTAAGGAGGGCGTTAAAAGTGTTTAAGAAAGGTGGAGACGTATGATTGTATAATCCAGTCTCCTGTCAGGCTTCCCACCAGATAGTCAAATGTCCAAAATATCATAGGAGGGTTAACACTTGAGTGAGTGGAAATGCTGATTAAACCAAATGGAAACCAATCTCATTATAAACAAATAATAATAATATTTAATAAAACTAAACTAAAGAATGAATACAAGTATAATACAATTAAACAAAATATAATAAATGGAGTTACAATGATACAATTCGAGATTTATCTCGTAGGGGAATTAGATTATCCTACTTTAAGCTATGTTTAATCTATTTATGCTAAATCCGACCCTTATGCACAGAGAGAGAGTTTACATCAATCTATCATGTTATACTACCTTATTAATACTTTTCTTTGTTCAATATATTCATGAGGAGAATTGTCTATGGATGCTTACTTCGTGTAGCACTTAGAGGACAGAATTCGCCATACTAAGATCTGGACTTCATAGAACTGTCCAGAGTGGCAGGAAAATGTCCCTTTTATATGAGTTGATGGTCTAACTGATGGCCAAGTCTCGTGTGCGGCCGCTTCTGATTCAAGTCGGCCATAGGAAAGGAAATCAACTTCCTTTCTATAATGAAAGTGTTGACATCCATTGTTCGAAATAAAATTTGTTAAAATTTATAAAATATTATTTTCGATTAAAAATTATATCGTTATTTCACAAATAAATTCTTTAGAAGAATCCCTCTCCACTTCAGGATTCTCACAAGTAACTGTAATGAATGGTGTAATATTTACTCCTTGTAATAAGTAATCTTTATTTTTTCATAAGAATGGATATATTCTAGAACTCTTTAAAAAGCTATTTTAACGTTTTAACACGTTATTTTTCAGATGGCTGGATTCTTCTTTGTCATTGATGGAACAGGATGTTAGAGAATTTGACACATTATTGTTACGTTATAAATTCTATAATTTCTTTGATCTCAATCCAAAGGTGAGAAATCAAATATAAATGCTTGTTACAATGTCTAGAATTCTTGAATATAATAACTACATTAATTTATAAATATCTGAACACGTGTTTTTGTTGAAATATTTAAAAGTAGTTTTGTCTCGTATAAATATCATATTAGAATTTTTAAGTTAATTAAAAATGATTTGTAACTTTTAACTTATAGTATGATTCAGTCCGAATAAATCAAATTTATGAACAAGCAAAATGGGCCATAATGACTGAAGAAATTGATTGTACTGAAGAAGAAATGATGCTTTTTGGAGCCCTTCAAGTAAGTTTAAATATTCTTTATTTTGAAAATGGATTAGATTATATATCATAAGTAGATTCTTTTTGCAGAAGCATTGAACAATTAGTTTAATTATTCAAAGATACATAAGGTGTTGAATGAAAATTTTTTAAATTTCTGAATAACAACGACCATAAATCAATGTGAAATTTGTAACTGCTTTTTCAAAACAATGTCATTAAAATTGGGAATATATTTTGTGGCACCCAATATTAAAGTCTTGTTTAAATATTCATTAGACAATGATGTTCAATGTTTTGATTTCATAAATCTTTTCAAAAATAATATATATCTGCAAAGACACACAGAAGCAAAAATAGAACTATTCCCTTGTGCAAACCTTTTTAAGACTTTTTTTTTAAATTCTCTTCTGGCTGAGATTTTTAAAAACTTAATGAAGTCTCTTCTTTAAATAGGTTTTTATAAAGACCATTTGCAGCAAGGTCTATTAATTCTAGTTGACTTTTTTCAAAAGTTTGTGTTTTTGAAGTAGCTCAAATGTTTGATAAAACATGTCAATGAGAAAAAGCTGTGGGTTGCAGACCCATTTTGAAGTTCTGTAGTTCTTTTGAATTTTATAAAATGTTTTCCAAAGATTGTGTGTATACATAAGTATATACTAAACTTAAAAGGCCAAAATCACAATTTAATTTTGTAATATTTTTTATCATTAAACTTATATGAAAATTTTAAGATATTAAATCTTTCACAAGTCTGAAGAGAAACAGATTTTATGATTAGTTGATGTTAGTTAAATCTCAAATGAAAAAAATATAAAGAGAATGTAAAAGTTTTGTCTGTAAATAAAAATGAAACTGCCAGTGTTTTTTTAAATCTTCTAACTTGATTTGTTAAGAAATCTCAGATGATGCTGATTTTGCAACTTTCCTTTACAAAGAAGATATTTAAATTCTTTCTTAAAAGTAATATTTGAATAGAACTTTCAGATTAAGTAAATATTGTTTTCATAGAAGTAAGGGGGGAAATACAGTAGAATAAATAACAACATATTTTTCTAAGTACTTTATTTCATTATTTAATAGATGAGTAGACTTTTTTCTTCTCCTTGATCAGTTGTATTAAATTTAAAAATACAAAAGAAATGATTTGAAATTATTTTCAAATAGTTTCAGATTATTTAGTAAGAGATCATCATAATATTAGTTTTTATAACATTGAACTAGACAAATATATTGTATATATTTTGTAACACTTGAGTGGAAAATGGTGTGTATGTGTGAAATCTCGCTTAATTATTTCTGAACCTCATTTGGATCAAAGCTTATAGAAGTCTTTTCCTTAAACTGTTCTAAAAAGATAGCAAATTTAAAATGTCAAACTGATGATGGCACTAACAGAACCAAAAACATTTTTTGTACAAATAATATACAACTGATTCTTCAGGTTACCAAAAATTATTAGTTTTTATTAAATGTGCAATTTTTTTTGCTCTTTTTTTTAATTAAAAAACCTGTAGAATAGTACCAACAACTGGAAGCCAAATTCTAACAAATAATTATAATCCATGAATGGATTCATGGATTATAATTATTTGTTAGAATTTTGTTATCAACTTTTTTCTTGTATTTGTATTTTGTAGGTCTAAAATAAGTAAATTAAAATACAACCTCACCATAAATTGGAACTGTAATATTTGCAAATCACACCTAAATTCAAAATTTCCAGCAAATAAGTCAAAAACACATATCGAACATTTTCGGCCACTAAATTTATCGGCCTTCCTCAGGAACTATCAACTGGAAAAATGTTTGATATGTGTTTTTGACTTTTATTTGCTGGAAATTTTGAATTTAGGTGTGATTTGTGACTAAAACAAGTATCTGATTTTTCTGTTATGTAATTTAAATAATGCATAAGACTGAAATGTTTTGTGTTTAATTATTACAAACAGTTCCAAGTTAATCTACAAGCCAATGTTCCACAACCAGACAGTTTTCAGAGTGACGAAGATGATATAGACTCTGCCCTGACAGACTTACAAGTGTCCTTAGAAGGAACTTCAATTAACAACAGTTCTGGTGACATCACACATGTACCCGAGCTTGCAAATTACTTGCGGTTCCTAAAGTGAGTTGTAATTCTAAATAATATAGTTTCATTCCATAAAAATGTAAAACAATAATTTTAAAAATTTTATTACAGACCAAAAAGGTTCACATTCAAGGGTTTCAAACGACTTTATTTCACTTTTAAAGATACTCATTTGTCCATTTATAAAAGGAAAGATGATTCCACTGGCCAGCCTTTATTAGTTATTAATTTGAAAGGTTATTTTCAATTTATTATATATTTTTTATAAATTTAAAATATCTTTATATTGAAGAAAATTTAATCAAAAAAACAGGTTGTGAGTTGACACCAGATGTGAATATTTCTCAAGGAAAATATGGAATTAGACTAGAAGTGCCAAGTCATGTTGGAATGACTGAATATTGGATACGTTGTGATATGGTAAGTTTCAGGTGTAAATAAGAATTCTTAGACAACAAATAAATAAAATTGTTCTTATAATTTAAAAAAGTTAAATCTATAGTAGAAGCTTTATGGATTTGAAAGTTAATTTTCTGTATTTCTTTAGTGAAGCAAATAGTCATTTCTTTTGTTCACTCAGAACAGTTTCTTCTTGCTGATACAATTAATCTTCTTATATTTTAAAAAATATAATTCTTACAATATGTTCCTCCATTATTCATTTTAACTTTATTTTTAAAAATTTCAGGAGGAGCAGTATGCAAAATGGATGGCTGCTTGTCGACTTGCAGCCAAGGGTAAAACAATGGCAGATAGTTCTTATGAAGCAGAAGTAAAATCAATTTTGGAATTTTTAAGCATGCAGCACCCAGCACCTACTCCTGCCATTAGTCCTTCACAAGTTGATATTAACCCAGAGGATTTTGTTGCACCTCGCTTTTTAAGAAAATTAAAATCTCGTCAGGTATAAAACTTACATTGACATTGATGCATATTTCAGTTAAAATAATTTTTCATTTTGCAACTTCTAACAAATATTTATATATATTTTCTCAATTGTAAGGGCAGCTCCACATATTCAGTGTTCACTGAATGCTGAGCAAACATTTGGCAAATATCAAGTATTGTGGATGATTTACTCATGATGAATATTTGCCATTTGTCAGTAAATTCTCAAATCAAAGGGGATGAACATTTGCTTCCATGCATTCATTTCATCTATCTGCACATTTATGCTTTCAATTGTATATTTTCTTGTTTTTTGGTCATTATTTTCAAAATGGAATAGTCTAATGAAATGGTAAATGAGGTGAAAAATATTGTCACCATAATAAAGAAAAAAAAAGACTATTTAGTATTTTAGAGTGAACAGTGTTAATGTTAAAAGTGGGTAGGAACAAACAAAATATATGCCAATCTGATTATATCTCTTAAAGAAAAATAAGCAAAACTATTTATAACTACAAAAGCAACAGCACAAAGTATTGTATGAAAATTGTCCATTTTCTAGATCTCAGACAAACTTCTGTCATTGCCTCAACATTAACACTTAGCAAGCACATGTGCACACTTTATTATTTGCCATGTGACAAACACTTTGATGAAAGGCAATTATTTAGCATTTGGAGAATATTGAATGTGCAGATACACCCTAAGTATAATAGTACTTTCTTATCTCTACTTTGGACAAGTAGAAAAATGGATGAGTCTTAGAATTGAGGATATCACACAGTCTAAAACAATCAAAAATCAATAATGTATCATAAGTGGATCACATTGTGCATTAAGCACTAATAATTTATTCAGATATTGCTCAATGCCCATATCATCAAATAAGCTTTTCTGGTACCTCCTTGAAGATGTTTAAATGATAAAGATGTGATATAATATCACCTTTGTAAAATAAATACAGGAAATCCTCATTAGTTTGAAATTCAAGGGGCGAGCGATAAATTGTAACTCTCAGATAATTCAAAGTCACATTTCTGTATAATATGCAAATTCCATGTAATTGATGTAATTTATTAAGCAAATGGAATAAGGCTATCTATACAGAATATTTATTATTAATTAACAAAAATAGCAAACTGCAGGTAAACAGCATGTACGTTATCTGGTGAGAAACTCATAGGTTGCCAGACAGGTTTTATAAAAAGTAAAGCAGAATTCCTCAAAATATGGTCCACATGTAGTAGCCAGAGACCTACAAATATCTCTATCTGCTGCTTATAGCCCAATCTTGCAATCCCAAAACACAGCTATATTTTATGAGATAAGGGGAAATAGGAGTAATCCATGTGTAAGGTGACATCTGAAAATATATTACTGTAAAAGTAATGCCGTGTTGAACAGATTAGAGTTGTTCTTTCTCTTATACTATGGAGGCACCTTGATCTAAACATACACACATCACAGTTTAGACAGAATTTTTACTTCAAATTTCAAAGTAGCCATATTTTGAACTAACCAAATTCCTTAACATATAAATCTCTCTACTATTTGTCCTGGCTGGGAATATAGTTATGAACTTGATTTTGAACTATCCAAGTTTAAATTAATGAGAATTTCCTGCAGTTGTTTTTAATGCTGCATCAGAAGAACTTAGTTTCCAAGCCTTACTTATTTTTCTACTTCTAACTTGCTTAACCAAACTTAAAAAGTTTTCCTCTATAAAAGTTTAAATTATACAGTAGAACCTCGAAAACTCGGCCTAATGTGGACCGAAGGGTGGCCGAGTTTGTGAAAATGCCGGGTTATCGGGAATGGGGTTAAAAAAAATAAGTACGAGTGTTTCCTCAGAAAATACTGTACTGTACTTGTATGTATTGTTTACTTGAGAATATAACAGAGAATAAACTGCCCAAATACCCTTAAACAAAGGAAAAGTACGTCCTTTATGAAGGCATGGCATAGAGCCTACATGAAAATGAAAATTAATGAATGCACTGTGTACAGTAATTTACCTGATAAGACAGACCTCAGAAAAATACTTTATGAGAGCTTTTATACTTTTATAAAGCTGTCTATAATGAAAATTAATAAACTAAGGATTTTTTTGCCCTGCCAGGGAGTGGCCGAGTTATCCGGAGTGCCGGGTTATCGAGAGCCGAGTTTGAGGTTCTACTGTACTACAAATTTGAAATTGAATTTTTTAAAATCTAACACCATATTTCCTTTATTGTACCAATAAGTATATAATTAGTGTTCTCTCCAAGTCAGCTAACTAATTCTTTTAACTGGTCAGAAAAATATTTATCTTTAAAAACTAAGTTGATTATTGTTTTGTTGTCATTAACTGACATTTGCAAGAAAGGGTCAGCCAGCTCATCTTAGACCGACCATCTAAAATATCTTCACATCAAATAATTAGGCATAAAAATTAACACACACACTTTTCATTCATAACAATCAAATTTAAAACATTTAGTTTAAAGAACTTTTTAAGTTGAGATTTTTCATATAATTTCCATATTAAGGAACAGATAAATTTCTAAAAATTGATGACTTGATCATTCACAATCTTTTTTCCCCCAGTATAAATCTTTAATTTAGATATAAAATTGATCATAAACTGTTTTTAATTTCTTAGATTGTCCAAAGAATTTTAGAAGCACATGCAAATGTCAAGGATTTAAATCTGATAGAAGCAAAATTAAATTTCATTAAAGCATGGCAAGCTCTTCCTGAATTTGGAATTTCTCTGTTTGTTGTTAAATTTGTTGGAAGTAAACGTGAGGTAAGACTCAATGCACAATAGATAAAACTTCAATACTTTTATGACAATACTTTAAGTTAAATTTTTTATTATAGGAATTGTTGGGAGTAGCCTTCAATCGTCTCATGCGTATGGAATTAAATACTGGTGATCATATTAAAACATGGCGTTTCAATACTATGAAAGTCTGGAATGTTAATTGGGAAGTTAAACAGATGATGGTGCAATTTGAAGAAGAAAATGTGGCTTTCAGTTGTTTGAGTGCAGATTGCAAAGTTGTACATGAATTTATTGGTGGTTATATCTTCCTTTCTATGAGATCAAAAGATCAAAACCAGTCCTTAAATGAAGACCTTTTCCATAAGCTAACAGGAGGATGGATCTGAAATCAAACATGACTTTTTCTTGCTAGATCTGTAACAAATTTTTCAATTAAAAAGTGTTTAATGACATTTTAAAGTGTTACAAATGTAACATTGTTAAAGCAGCTGTTCGTCTTCCACTCGTACAGTTGATCTAGAGTCCTATTTAATTATATCTACAGTTTTCCTTATTAAAATGCATTTTTATCTTAAATGCATGTTGTAACATGTTGCTTAATGTTAAAAAATATGTAGATATCTCATTAAGCAACTTTAACAATTTTAACATAACTAATAAGAATATGCAGTTGATCTACATTTATCATCATCAATTGTAATTTTTTTATTGCAAGTTGACATTTTACAGTTTACTAGTAATCTATTGAATTTACTTGTTCAAAGTGCAAATTAGACATATTAAAATGTTTTATAATTAATTATAGTATATATGAAAATTGTTAAAAACAGTGATATATTGACTATGCTACAATTGTGTGCCTACAAATATAACGCTTTGCAATTATTTGATTAAATTTGGTGTAAAGCACTGAACCATGATGGGGGGTTTAATTCCAATACCCAGACAGACAGAGTAGAGGAATAAATTTCAATTTTCTTTTGAGAGAATAGTATTAGAGGATTGTTCTTTTTATATATATATATATATTTTACAATTTAATGTAAAATGCATTATGTGCCTTACAGAGTATATTTCCAGGTAATAAAAAAAATTTAAAACTTAATTTGTGTTGATTTATAACATATTCAAGAAGTGCCATATGTCACTGTGTTCACATATTTATTAATTAACAACTTCATAATGATAATCGTCACTACTACATTCATCCAATAACAGTAAAAAGAATTTTTTGAGATCATTTAACTTTTTAAAAATTTATAAATTACATTGTAATAGTGAAAAAATTCTTTTGTAGCATATAAGAACTCAATATGTATTAATACTTAAACACACTATACATTTACATCACATTTTTAGCTTTTTTTTTTGTTGTAAATGTATATCAAGCCTTAATTCAGGTTAATTTATCCGTTTTAAGGTTAAAAACAAAATTTGGTATTGTTGAAGTATGAGCCAAACGTGTGTGTGTGATTTCTTGGATTAACTTTCTGTTCATTAAAGATAAAATATATTAAAACAAGAAAGAATGCAATGCAATACAATTAATTTAACTTTCAAAAAAGTTATTGTTTTATAAGCTTTTTGAGAACTGTGATTAAATAGAATAAGGAAGGAAAGAAATTTTTTAACATGCATGCATATTTATTATTCAAGAACAATAATTGGTTATATATATGAGGGCAGTTTTTTCAACCTTCAATGGTCCATAACAAAATGAATTTATTACCAAAAGTTAAGTACAAACATGGTTACATAATCACAGTGAAGATTGAGGCATTTGTCCTATCTGTGGACGAGCTTTGAAATCCCCTCTTCATAGAATATTGATGCCAGTAACTTGAGATGGGCCTTAACATTGTTTTGAAGATTGTCATCACTCTCAAACCTCTGCCCTCCTATCCATGTTTTCAGTTCAGGAAACAGGTGGAAATCACTCGGTGCTAAATCAGGGCTATATGCTGGGTGTTTAAAGTTTCAAACTGGATGGAAGTCTTCACACCTTTAATGTCTGAAGACTTTCACCTTTAACTTTCCTGAACTGAAAACGTGGCTAGGAGGGCAGAGGTTTGAGACTAATGATGATTTTCAAAACAACATTAAGGCCCATCTCAAGTCACTGGTGGAAACATTCTATGAAGAGGAGATTTCAAAGCTCATCCACAGATATGATGTATGCCTCAATCTTCAGTGATTATGTCAAAAAGTAACCATGTTTGTACCTAATTTTTGGTAATAAATTCATTTTATTATTTACACTTGTCTTTGTTTTATGAACCATTGGAGGTTGAAAAAACTGCCTACATATATACATCTTAAACTGTATTTTTGTTACCAGAGCTAGTTTTAAGTTGGGTGCATAAAAGCAATGATATTCTAAATGTACTGTATAGTACAGTACATGTTATGACTAATAAGTTCAGTTGTATTAATTTGAATTCAAGCAATAAATAAATCATTGCAAACAATTTTGATATTTGAAGGAAGCCTTACAATAATGATTATGTACTGTGCTTATATTTTCATTGAAATTTTTTCACATTTGTTGGTTGTCTAACATTAACATTACAATGCTTTTTGGTATCCTTTCAATTTGCTACCCATCGTTTATCTGAGCAGACTCAAATGAAATGCTTTGACTTTGAGTCAATTGTCATTTTCTCTTCCTTACCATTTTCCATATCAAATTAGAATAAATTTGATATGGAAAATGTCAAAAAGTAATTTAGATTTCATAAGGATTTATTAAACCTAAATTACTGTACTAGTTTAATGTGCACAAAATTAAAGGAATCACTAATATTAAACAGTAGCAAAATAATAATGTACACCAGTATAAAGATAATTATTTAACTCTTAAACATGTAATGATGAATATGAATCTGCAGTACCATGATATTTACCATCATCATCATCATCATGCATAAAATTCTTGAATTATTTAAGAAACTCAGTTTGATGGTCTATGTTGTTTAAGTGTTTTTCTTAGTAAGTTAGCATATCAAACTAGATTTCTTAAATAACAGATTTGCAATTTAATCAGTTATCTAATAATATTTTTCCAAAAAAATAAATTATTAAAATACATTAAATTTCTGCAATATATTTTACACCACATTTTTTTTTCTTGAAAACTGTTTCTCATAAAAGATCAGAATTTCTTTATACTCAAAGCCAATATGAAGAATTGAGTGGCAACATTGATGTCAAGTAGAACTCAACAGAAATGAAAATTAAGAATCAGCCCCAGTTGGTTGTATAACGGAATGGGTTGAGTTCAGGGCTGCGGAATCGGTAAAAAACACTCTTGATAATTTTAGTAGGCTGACTCCGATTCTGGCGAAATTAAATAATTACCAAGTCATTTTATGGGGGGCAGAGGCACTCATAGGGGGTACCCTACTCTGAAAGGAGCCTGGGCCATTTACCCAAATACTTTTATAGTTAGTCCAATTAAAATGTGTGTAATCTAGCTACTTCAGCCTCTTGTTTAGAAAAGAAAAATATGTACTCTGATAACTAGCCATATCAGAAATTGACATGGACCATTTGCAGTTTCTAATTAAAAAATTTAAACTGCCTGCAGACATAAGTGTCCTAGGAAAATTCCTCCTGGACTATGGACTGAACATTAACTATGACTTGCATACCCATCATCCTGCCAATGACCCAGACCCCAACATCTGTCTCCATCAATCCACCATCCCACAAGGTATAAACTACTACACCGACAGATCCAAATCTCCAGAAGCTGTAGGCGCGGCTGTTATCCTCGATGACCCAATGAAGAAAACCTTCTGGCAAGGTGCCTATAAGCTGGATCCATCTTGCTCCATCAACCAAGCTGAGTCGCTAGCCATCCTTAACACCCTTAGACGTATCCAGGATAATATAACCAGTTACAATGGTAAAAACATTATCATCATCAGCGACAGTCAAGTCGCCCTTTACCAGATTCGTAAGCGTAACTGCCACCTTCCCACAATCAACAACAGCTGAAAGATCCTATATGAAATCTCAGATACTGTCAATATAAAATTTCACTGGATCAAGGGCCACTCAGGAAGCAGTGGCAATGACAAGGCTGACAACCTAGCCAAAAAGGTCTTCTCTTTATCCATGGTGTGTAGCTACTCCTCAATTCCCATCCTGGGTTCAAGGTAAGCTGGACTCAATTTTAACATCCTGCTGGCAGAAGGAGTGGGATGAAAGCCTGACAGGGCATCTCACCCACAACTTTTTCACCAGCATCTCTCATAGGATCAGCAACCACCATTTTACTACCAATCACGTCATGACCCAAATTCTTACAGCACATGGCAACTTCAGAGCCTACCTCTATAGGTTCTTGAGGAAGGGGAATGGTTTGTGCCTCTGTGATACTAACGAGAACGAAGATCCAATACACCTAATCTTCATCTGCCTGGTTCACTCATGCCACCGTGCAAACCTTCATAGGACTATTGTGGAACATGGATATCCTTGGCCGTGCGAACTATACACCCTTATTGAGGACCAGATAATCTATCAAGAATTCAAGACCTTAGTGGAACACCTGAAACTTACGCACTATACCACTACCAGCCCAAGTGGCATCTAATGGACAGCTCATCTTCTGAGTCAACAAGGGCTCCTCCCAAAAAGGGACTCCTTACTGCCTTTCTTTTTTTTTTTTTCCCCAAGTCAACCTCATCTGACCAACTCCTCAAGGTATTACGCTACGAGTCTTCTCCTTCCCTGTATATACAAATTATTTTGCACGTGTATACCATCGTATTTCCAAGTGCTATCCAACAGCTCCCCTTTGCGGCTCATGTCCTCCTTTTTCAACCATCCCATCCTCCTGACTTTTCTTCAAATCACTCTCCTTCCTTCCTTCACCCATCTTTCTTATCTTTTAAGGCTACACCTTTGAGTACAGCCTTTTCTTTCACATTATGTATGTATGTATGTATGTATGTATGTATGTACTCTGATCAATTAGTCTGGCTCATTCAGAAAAATAGAGTATTTATTTAGAGCAGGGATAATAAAGGAATGATTCAAAAATATTCAAATTCAATTGGGTCAAACTAATTTAATTACTAAACACAAATACTACACAGAACACTACATATTTAATAAATTAAATTGATGCATTTTGTATTTAAAATAAATGAATTATAACAAAATACAAAAAGATTTTAAAAAATT